ATTTAAAAGGAAATATAAACCATAATTTCTTAGTTATAAAAATCTTTTTTCAAAAAGGATATTCTTTTCAGAAAAATATTCCTTTGCAAATTAGACTGCATAAGTAATAATATATAGCATACTGTGTCTCCCAAGCCAAACCAAAACAAAAGGCAGTGTGGTACACATGTAGGGTTAATACAAAGGGTCAAGGACAGTCCTAGCAATAATTAAATATTAATGCTTTTGTAGTAAAATGTACACAATATGATAAAACAGTAACAATAAATATTGTCACATTTCTGATCAAGCTGTGAATTATATGAAAAACCTGTTTGTTCCCTCCCAACTTTTGGATACTGAAATTATTGGTAAAGGATTCTAAACCTCTATAGATAAAATTACATTAAGAACACTGATGTGAATCAACTTGAAACTAATTCCAAGGTAATAGTTTTTAGATGAAAACTAGAATTATGTAGTAGGCACACACAGTTTCTATCAATTAACAGTGCTTCTATGTCCATTGGTCTTGCTTTTCAGCTACCAGTATCTTACTTTTAATGCACTTTGCTTTTATGTTGCACTCTTGCTAATTCAGAATGGTCACTGGCAGGAAAACCAAATTCCTCAGAGTTACCTAGTTAACTAAATTCTGATTTACCTCAATTGTTTTTGCTTTTTCTTTTCTCTTCTTTTTTTTTTTCGACAATGTCAATTTCTTAGAACACTATACTTTATAATGGATAATCCATAATTACTCTGTGGAATAAATAAAGTTTAAGACTGTTTTTTGTAAATAGGGTAAGGTAGCACTTACCTGTCATCTCTGCACTCCAGAGGCTAAGGGTACATATTCAAGCTTGTCTTAATACAGCAAGAGTCTGTCCCCAAACATTAACAAAACAATCCCATGAGCTGTGGCAAATGGAGACCACTGTGAACCCATTTATAATCTAGGTATATATTAGAACATGGGCCAAGAGTAGGATGTTTTAAAAAGCTTTGTATTCACAAAGACTATTTGAAACCCATCTTCATGTTTCAAAAATCTTACCAGATAGAAGATCTTTCTGATGAAGTCTTCTCCCTAAGACACAAAAAATATGAAGAGAGAGAGCAAGCTAGGTGGTCACTCTGGGAGCAAAGCAAGTGGCACAGAAGAAATAACAGGCAAGTATTTAAAGTTCAAAATATTAAAGCCATACTATATGAGGAATGAACAGAAACTGGCCATAAAATTCAGAAAGACCACTGACAAGGGAATCACAGGATGCAAATGCCAGCTGTTGTGTAAAGTGGCATCTACATATACAAACTTGCATTTAAAATATATCTGGGAAATTATATACAATAAAATAAGTTTCTAATACTCATTTTCTCATGTGCTGCTAGCTATGGCATCATACTTACATAGAAAATATTACCAACATTCTATATAAAACATATCATTTCATTCAGACATGATGGCATATGCCAGTAATTAGGAGGCTGAGGAGGGGGGGGATCTCAGTTTAAGACCAGTATAGATTGCACAGTGAGGACCTCTTCTCCAAAATCTAAAAGCAACTTATTTCAATGTACTTTAAACAGTGGACTCAGCATTAGGCACGTGAGTTTAGGTAATCCGTTTCAACAAGCACTTCAGAAATAATACTTAACACAAATTCGAGAAATTTTATTTTAGTATTTATTTAGTATAAAAGTTCATGGAACTTTTAAAAATATAAATGTTGGATATGGGTACATGCTCAGAGTTCCTGCATTCTGGAGCTGTAGCAGGATGACCATGAGTTATAACATGTACTGTAGTGCCAAACTCTCTTTCAAAAACCAGAAACAAGCCTATAAATAGACTTTGGGGAAGAATCAATATGACACAATTTGAATCTATTTGTAGTTACGTTTCATTACATTCACAACTAAAAAGGCAAGTTCATGTAAAATCTAGCTGCCTCTTCACTTAAGGAACATCTTTCAATTAGTTAAATATTAAAGTCCTTTCTTGCTCAGCTGTTCAGCTACACTGTTAATCTTCATTTAAAGAGTTCTCCTAATTAATATAAGTCAAACTCTAGAATTCCAGTTCTTTTCCACATCACAGATACAACTTTCCAGAAATACACTGGAAAAAATGTGAATTGAGGCCTTATTGTATATTAAAACAACTATAGAATAACTCAAGACTTCAGACTGTAAAGATCAAATACATGGCCCTTTGTAAAAATCAAGTAACTGTAACAACTATGACTCAGTGAGGATGAAGAACTACAATTAAACCCTGGAGAAAAAACCTTTCATAAAAACAACACTGGGAAGATCATCAGATGACCTTAGGAGAAACTGTGACATAGTGACATCCTCTTTTCATTTATTTCCTCACTAGAGCTTACAGTAAGAACGCGGAAGGGCAGGACCTGGTTCTGAAGGAAAACCCAAGTGAACTTAGCACTGCTCAGCAGTGTGCTGCTGAGAGGCCCCTTGAGCTCCCAGCAGACAACAGTCTGTATACTCAGGACTCACTTTCTTTAAATGACAGTCAAGAAATCAAGGTAAGCCTAGGGTTCATGAATGCATTTTCTTTTAATTGCCTTTTAACATCATCTCACTTGTGTAGATATTAAAAATTGTTTTATTACATATCAAACTCAGTGAGATGTTCAGTCTAACATGTCCATGAGTCTATAATAGAGCAAACTAGTTCCATTATATTGGCAACTTACATATATATATATATATATATACACACACACACACACACACACACACACACACACACACACACACACATTTTTTTTTTGTTTTGTTTTACGAGACAGGGTTTCTCTGTATTGTTTTGGAGGCTGTTGGTCCAACCCAGCCTCGAACTCACAGAGATCCACCTGCCTCTGCCTCCCGAGTGCTAGGATTAAAGGCGTACGCCACCACTGCCCGACCTGTATTTTTATATTTTGGGCCTAGTATATCAGTAACAACTTTCACCTGTCTACTTACTTAGCTGTTAGGGAATGGGGCTTCTATTGCACTTTCTTTACAGAACAAAGCTGAGCACTGGAGACTGGCACATGGAGCACAGTAAGCACAGCTTGTTTCCCTGCGTCTAACCAAGGGTTTTACTCGTCTCCACACAAATCCAGCTTCTACTTTAGGAGAGTATATCTTAGAACTACACAAAGCTCATGCATCTATTGCCATAAAAGGTGTTGAAAAATAATTAGATCAAGAATGGAGGGACTTTAGAATGAATGTGCAAGTTGCAGAAGATTAGGAAAAGTCAAATGTATATCTGTAATAATGAGACAGAAATGAAGTACAACCAATGGAAGAAACCCTTAAAAGGTTCTGTGGAGTATGTGTTCTTTCAAGCAAAGAAATAATTCCTTAAAATCAAAATATACCATTCTGACAGGAAAGGAAATGAAACCTGAACTTAGATGGTCAGAGAATAATTATAAAAGGCGACATTACAAATTCTTTAACATTTTATAAACAAGTTAGTTGGAACTTAACTGTGAAAATGTTTCCCCTTTCAGTCTTTGCGGTGGGAGCGACGAGCTTTTCCACTGAGAGATGAGGATACAGCAGCCTTATTATGCCAAGATGAAAGAAAGGATCAGACTGAGGGGACAAGCACAGCCTTCCGCGATGAAGTCTTCTGTAGCACTACACCAGAGAATGGCCACCCTCCAAAAATGCAGTTAGATGGAATGGAAGAGTACAAAAGCTTTGGCATAGGAGTTACTAATATTAAAAGAAACAGGTGACAGGGAACATATTAAGAAAACTATGTAACTGAAAGGAAAAGAGGGATAAAACCCTAAACCCTCTTCTGGATCTTCCACTTCCTCTGGTCACAATTCCAGAAAAGGAGAATGTGTTGCATGTGTCCATCTTTCACTGTTCCTGAAACAGGCCAGAGAAGCTTCTTTTTCCTTCCTGAATCACAGATGTAGCTAGCTTTTCACCTACACAAATGCTAGTAACTTGTGTTTGTCGATAATACAGATCGCAAGCACTAAGATATTAACTGCTGCAATTTGATGCCAAATCACATTACGGGGTATCTGTTAAGAGCCCCCTCCCTAATAATATAGTTGGTTTGTATCAAATGACAACTATTCTTTGTTTCTGTTCTCATGGCAGTTCACTAAAATTGCCTCAATATATGAGAACATACTAGTGTGTATACAGAACATATATATACATACTTGCACACACGTAGTCTTAAAACTGCATGTATGAACTATTCTATGCAATGTAAGTTGACATGAATATATAGCACAGGTGTGGACTGATAACAGATATTTGAAAGCTTTGACTATGGAGAGGGAGTTGTTTTTTCTTTTATTCTAAAAATTGTTTAACCAATATAAGTTATTTATGGAAATTCTTATATCAAATAATACAATATTCATTTATTTGAAATCATTGTTCTTTCTTGGACTAACCACAGGCTGTCTGCTTACTCCTAACAGAATTAAGAGAAGCAACTTAAGAGTTTAATATATTTGATACATTTTGAAAAGTATCGTCTTTGTAAATTTACCCTGAGTTTTACTTGCTTTATGCACCTCTTCAAGACAGCAACTTAAAATGTAAAACAACATATAAATCATAATATGGTTGTAAGTCTAGCTAACATATAGCTAGAAGCTTCTAATTTGGTTTTTTCTTGCCATTGCTTACTGAAATACCTACTCTTAATAGGCTCCTAGATCAAGAATTCAAGTTTTTCAAAGACTAAGACTTTAATGTAGATTGCAGAGGAGTGTACATTAAAGAAAATTCTTTTTGGAGCTATAATACCATTTTTATCTAGATGAAAGTTAAGGACAAATTGTATCAACCACTTTTTGTTATGCAAAGAAAGTTTACTCAATTTGTAGTTCCCATAGTCCTGAAAATCCTGGCTTAAGTGTCTGTGGGATTACATAAGGTTTTGTTGAGGATTAGAAATTAAATTGGTCCCTGCAAAAGGGGGTTGGGGGAACCATTCAAATTGAATACTTACAAACTTTTGCTTATAGTTTTACTGTACATTTATTTTTAAAGAAAAAGATAACAAAAGCCAGAAAAATACAAGTTGTCCCAGCAAATAAATTCAAATCTTTGTCATGACTGATATTATAATCTTCTACATAGTTTTTTAATTAAAGTTATTTCTATATGCCTTGTATTGTGTCATTTGATTAAATGCACAAACTTTTCCTAAAATAAAATAAAAACAAGTACTAATAAACTTTACCTTACAGGGCAGGAAAAGCCCCAGCAAGCTGTGTTTCATGCCTACATATATCAGTGTTCTTATAATTTAAAACCTATTTCTCAAAATTCATAGTAGCCTGAAGAAATTTCATAATACTAGTTGTATTGTTGTCATATTCAAGAGGGGGACTGAAGTTGCCGATACATATTTTCAGTGGGAACACCGTTATTAATACTTAGTTCATGAATTAAGTCTGTATCCTGTCTTCTCTTAGCCTACTTCTTTCTTAGAGAAATTATATAGACACCCTTGGGGTCAAATGTGTATTTCCAGGGTATTCTTGACTTACTCTGATTCTGCTAAAAGGTATAGGTACTGAAAATAAAAAATGTTAAAAAAAACCTTCTTCTTACTAATCCACCTCTCAAGAGCTGGCTGTTGTCAGAGCAGTAGGATATACCAGGAAGCCTGCTTACTGGACCCTTTCTATGTACCAGCCCAAAAAATACATGCTCTAACAATTATGACAATCTAAGAGTTAATGGGATTATACCAAAGTGCCCAATAACTCACAACATACACAGTGCTTGTCATTTTGTTGAGCATCCCCTACAGTCTTAAGAGTAGAATTTCCAAGATCATGTTATGTTTTTAATTCTCAACACATGGTATCTATGGTTCCATTCAACATACATAAGAGTTGATAATAGAAAAAAGAAAGGTTGAGTAATTTTTGGGGCCAACCTGGATTCAAACCAATGAGCTTCCAAGAGAGACTGTATGGTTCCTTTCTGCTCACAACTATCACAACAGTATTATTTCACAGCCTTAAGAATGGTGGTTGAGTGAGAACCAGGAGCAGGAAAGAATAACTGAGTAGCCTGCTGTGACAAAGAAAATACTTTGATATGTGCTTGCATTTCAGAAGCTCTAGGCTTCACACATTTTTATATTCTTTAGTAAACCAAGTATAAGATAAAAAATGTTTCCGATGCCAGACCATGACATGCCACCCCACCAAAGCTTCTAATTTTAGTCCCTTCCATTCATATTCCAGGCATATAAACAAACCACAAATGACATGAAACAGAAAATATGGATGTCATTTGCTTTAGGGATAAACCAGAGAAACAACAGAACGTTCTTCTTAAAAATACAGAAAAATTGGTTTTCATAGTAGCTCATTGTCCTCTTTAGGCCTTACGACACATTTCTGTAATCTTAAATCCATGTTTTCACTCTTTACAAAAAAAAATCATTTTCCCAATATAAACATTTTATCATGCTAATCTCTAAATGGCATCACTAAAAAGGTAGTTATTTCTAACCTCTTGAACATCCTGCACAATTGAATTTAATCACTGGAATGCAGCACTGCTTCGATTCAATGTGATTTGGTAGTTAATTTTCCCAGTAAAAAAGATTTCATGAGCAGAAATTGGGTTTCTTGGCTTCATCGATCAAGAGAACGTTTCTGAGCAGCTTCTGAACAGACATTCCTTAGTAAGTTGATAACAGATCTGGGGTCGTCACTCCTCATGATGGCACTGCCAGACACAATCATGTTAGCTCCTGCCTGCAAGAAGTACATGGCTATGCATTAGCACGGAAGAAACCAACACTGAAGCCCCAGAGCAGCCTTTCCACCCTTGCCTCTACCAGCACTTTTCCAAAACCTGACTGTAGCACTCTAATTCACAGAATTAAGAAGTGACAAAGTTTATAAACGAGGCCACACATTTATTTGTTAAATGTGTCTACCAAGTCACTGGACTGCTGGTTAACTAGTCCTAAGTGCACACAGTACCTCTGCTAGTACATGCTTAGATAAAGCTTTGAAGTCTTAAGTCCGCAATTCCATTTAGGCCTTTCCTAATGCATACCCATGACCCCGGTCACTAAGGAAACACTAGCTGTGTCTAGAAAGTCTGAAGGGAGACAGTGTAAAAATGAGAAGCTATCATTTTGCCTCAGAAACAATGGAAGAATGTATCTGTATGCTTTCTTAGGATCCAGAATGGCTTATAGTACCTTAGAAAATTCTCCCTGGATGACATTTTTAAATGTGGAGGCAAAGAGATGGGAGTACGGGGAAGATCCTAAAAAGCTCAAATGAGATAGCTCCAAACATAAGCTCTGGGTCTGGGATCTAAGCTGAAGGAAAACCAATCTGTTGTATAATCCATTGTTAGAAGCTGAAAACCACACGTTGAGGAAATGTTTCCAATGCGACCCAGTGACCGGATAGCAGAATGTTACATCTCCCGTAACATTCATTCCAGGAGTTAAAATCTATAGGACAATTGATTAACATGTCTCTAATTTGAGCCAGAACAGCATCACAGAAGAGTTCAAAACAAATCAGTTTAATAGGATCTAACAGGTCATGTGATCATCTGTCCAGCTGCTTTCAAAAGCTGCCAAGTCTTTTTTATCTTTTAAAGCTAGGGTCTTGCCATGTAGCCCAGGCTGGCCTAGAACTTACAACTCACATTTCTCCTGTCCCTCCTATCCCAGCATTTTCAGTAACTGCCAAGCTTTTGATGGTTTGCATCCAGCAGAAAAGTATGGCCATTATGTACGAATCTGAATAAAAATGAGCCATGTGACTTATAGTCACCTGCAGTGCTCCATGAGGGTTTCCATCTAATGACCACATGACCACATGACCTAGGGTCACCTAGAGTTCTCAGGAAGCGATGGCATCTAGTGACCATGTAATTTAGGGTTACCTGCAGTTCTCAGGCAGGGCTGCCATCTAATGACTTATGGTCACAGGTAGTTCTCAGGGCTGCCACCTTGTGACATCCAGGAGCAGAACTAACCTAGGGTAACTCCCTAGAAAAAACATACTTAGCTTGGCAAAGGGGAACTAGGCCTTGACTTTCAACAAAAATAGATATAGCCATTTCTTATATGACACAAACAGGTAGTTAGTCCAGCATGATTAGGCCAGTTAAATTTCTGTTTTTCTTCAGTTGAGAAGTATCTTTTTAAAGAACTTAATGGGTTTGTTAAGGATTAACATTCAACACATTCTTTCTGGAGACCAGGATTTACTATTGAATAATTTATGTATTTAGAAACTCACTTGGTCTTTACTTTTCTACATTTGAGCAAAAAATATTTTCCCAAGGGGGGAAAATCAACTTGAGCAATTCTTTGGTGATAGGACTGTCCTACAGATTGCATCTCCAGGAACTGCCCTAGTCACAGTTGAGGAGCAGTCTCACCTCCGCGCATTTCTGAACAGTGTCAGGACCTACTCCACCATCGACCTCTATATCCAAAGTTGGGAACTGGGTCCTCAACCAGTGAACCTAGACATACACGAAGAAACAGTGACTCCTACAGTGGACATGCAGGGGAAAGCAAACAAGCACACAAACATCACAGCTGACATGAGCTTAGCTCTATATGCAACATAACTGGGGATCACTTTCAATAGACTGAAGCATATTATGCTAAAGTAGCTTAGCAAATGACATTCAATTGGTGATGGCTTTGCACAGACTGTAATGAAAACTCTCAAGTGACCCAAAGTCACAAAAATAACAGCTTAAAATGTTTGCAATATGGTTAAAATATTAGCTTTTATACAGTATCTGAAGGCATCTCTGTCCCCTCACCTCCAAAGCAGGACATGACTCAAAAGCATATGGTGCACTCATGACTACTGAATACACACCTATAATAAAAACCTCACCCCAGAAGAGAATATTTCTTTTACCTTGGGCATCATATCTTCCATGAATTTTTGCCCTCCAAACCCAGGTTCTACAGTCATTACCAAGGCCATATCTATTTGATTAGCCCATGGGGCCAAATATTCAACTGTCGTTCCTGGTTTGATGGCAAGGCCAACCTGCAACAGACAAACACTAAATCACATCATTTCCCTATTATATTATTGTGGCTTAATTTAAAAAAAAACAACCCAACTTACAAAACATAATACAAATTATTGAGAACAAGATCACGTTTTTGTTTGTTTGATCTGGATTTATTTTTGTTACCTTATTTTTTGTTTTTTACTAAAAAAAATTTATCTTACAATCTATTTTGATCAAGCCCTCAACGCCTCTCAGATCCTCCCTACCCACCCAACTTTATACTCTCTCCTGCTCTCTCTAGAAAAATACACATGGGCTGGGCAGCAATGGCACACACCTTTAATCCCCACACTTTTGAAGCAGAGGCAGGTAGATCTCTGGGTTTGAGGCAAGCCTGGCTTATATAGTAAGTTCTAGGACAGCTAGGGCTATACAGAGAAACTCTGTTTAGAAAAACCAAACAAACAAAAAATAGACAAAAAAAAAGTCATATCCCCCCACACACAAACAAAGACACTGGAGTTCTTTTTGCATTGGCAATTACTCCTGGGGGTTGGGAGTGCCCTAGAGTATGGCTGATAGACCGAGTAAAACTCCACTATAGAAAACTGATTTTTTTTCCTTGCCAGTGGGCCTCAATTACAAATAGCTTCTTTTTCAGGGGTTAGACCCTGTGTATCTACTTCCCCCTCTCAGTGACACATTCAGGCCAGACAGAGTCCTAGCACTGTAATTTGTTTATTTGTTTTAAGGTAACATGACCATTAAATGTGAATGATTCTAAAGGCAATGACCTTCAGAAACATAGTGGAATATATCTTACAAATTTATACTTTCATACTTTAACTCTGGACCCCCCAGCTGCCCACACCCACTCCTTTCTCTATCATGTTTTTCCCCAACTGTCTTTCACACTTAGACAAGAACTGGTCTAAAACATGACTCCTACCATCGACTTACCTTCATTCCATTCTCCCTGATGTCTTTAATCAAAGCCCCGGGGTTCTCAGTTGCCTCAAGATGAAAGGTATATTGATTGGCACCTGCCACAGCCATTGGCTTTACCCACTGTTCTGGCCTAGATACCATCATGTGCATATCTGGAAAGAAAAGACATCTCCTGTTCAAACTCAGAGGAACATCCGGCTCACAAGACGAAATCAGCCTATAGGGTTTTTTTTGTTTTGTTTGTTCATACGTTTTGTTTCAGTTATGCTTTGGTATAGATAGTCTCATCCTAAAGATAAAGTTCAGCTGTATTCACTTATGAAATAGTTCTTCCACAAAGAGCACATGCTGCTATACATGAATGAGAAGAAATGAGTAATGAGGAAACTGAGGTGTAAGTTCAGGAAGTACCACTTTCAAAGGTTTAAAGAAAGAGGTCATACTACCTACCTATGCAGCCTTGTTTTCTTTTGGAAAGCTAGCCTTTACTGAACATTTATGGCACCACAAATGGATGAGCCAATAAGAAAAACAAGATAAAATACAAACTAGGTTGAACAGCTAGTGCCAGAGCTAGGAGGACACAATGTCAGAGAAACAGGCAGTAAGGAGGGAGGATGGCAGAGGTCTGCAGGCTGCTAGGACTAATGAGATGGGAAACCGCAGGTTTCAGTGAAGTGACAAGGTCCAATCAAGGGAGCTACTGTGACAGTAACCCAGGAAAATTACATGCTGAGGCACAGACACCTAGAAGGTGAAAGGAAAAAAATCGAATGGGGCCAAAGACTTGGCCTAAGCAAGTAGAAGAGCAGAACTGCAGTTTACTGAGTTACAGGAGAGAGAAGGCAGGCTGGTAAGGGAGGGTGGAAGCCTAAAGCGTGATGGACATAAACACAGCAAGTAGAACAGACGTGGTCTTCTTAAAAGTCCTTAAAATTAAACGTGTTTCATGAGGAAAGGCCAAAGAGGAGAGATGACAAGATAACCTGTGACCATTCTGTGCAATGCAGTGTGGAGAGTAATGTTTTTGTTTGTTTTTTGTCAGAAGAAGTACATTTCTGGCCTTACTATGCTGTATTTTAAAAATAAATTCTAATACTTCAGAACTAAGATTATAAAAGTCAAAAGCTTTGGAAAGGAGTTAAACAATACCAGCATCACAGTGTGGTGATACATTGTTTATGATCTAATAAAGCTTGCCTGGAGATCAGAATGCAAAGCTAGTCACAGCCACAGAGGCCGAGCAGTGGTAGTACACACCTTTAATCCCAGAAGCCATACTAGTTAGCCATAGAAGCTGGGTGGTAGTGGTGCACACCGTTAATCCCAGCACTAGGGAGGTATAGAAGACAGGAGCAGGGTATCAGAGCTGGCATTCAGACTTAGGCAATTAGTCTCCAACCACATTGAGGGCAAGATCACCCCAGCCTTGGTAGAGATAAGAGTTTTCTGGTGACTTGGTTGCTTTGCATTTTTGATCTTCAGCTTGGACCCAATATCAGTCTCTGGGTTTTTATTATTCATGCTACAATATATTGTCTAAACTAACAAAAACAAACAAATAAAAACATGTTAATAGATAAAAACTTCAGGTAAGATCAGCAGTCTTCAGACAGAATCTAGCACTCTGTGGCTGATATTGGCTAGATGTACAGGTATTATATGTTTTAGACATTTGAATGAAGGTATTTCCAAGTACTAATTAAACCATGAAATATAAATAGAGATTACAGAAAAACCTCCTTTTTGCATAGATTACTTTGTTCAGCTTCATTTTGGAGGTTTTCTGGTGTCAACTGTGGCTTAAAAATAATAAACAGAAAGTTACAGAAATAAACACTTGGTGAGTTTTATATTGACAACCTGAATTCTAACTCTTCTTCCCATTGTGGAAAGAGAAAATCAGACCCCACACCAGCTTGCTCTTTGAGTCATCCCTATAACTGGTGGACACACACTACTACTACCTGTTCAAAACTTGGCAACTGGCTGGTGACCACATCCAATGTCCTGGTACCACAGTGCTTATGATTGAGTTACCCTATTTCCATAAAGTTATTTGTGTGTGTGTGTGTGATGTGTAAGCACAGGTATACGCATACCATGGTACCCCATGTGGCGGTCAAAGGACAACTGTTCAGAGTTTGATTTTCTTGTTCCACAATGGGAAAAGGGGTTAGAACTCAGCTTGTCAAGCCTACATAACAAACACTTTTATACCCTCTGGGTTATCTTGATGACTCCTATTTTTTACTTGCTAGCAGTAATTTAGCATGAGTGTGATGACTGTAAGTAGACAAGTCATAAATGCTTCCTTTAAGTATCATCTCACATTATTGCAAGGATTATAGTAAGAAAATTTTAGAGACTGCATTCACATAATTACAGTACACTATTCTAGTCTACTTTATTATGAGTTGTTGCTTACTAATTATTGTGCTTAATTATATGTTATGCTTTGAACACAGATATGTGTATGAAAACCATTAATGATGATATATCCTGCAGTAGCAAATATTCAGGCAAGATATTCCTTACTTAAAAATAAGCACATCAGCCGGGCGTTGGTGGTGCATGCCTTTAATCCCAGCCCTCGGGAAGCAGAGGCAGGCGGATCTCTGTGAGTTCGAGGACAGCCTGGTCTACTGAGTGAGTTCCAGGACAGCCTCCAAAGCCACAGAGAAACCCTGTCTCGAAAAACAAATAACAAACAGACAAAAAAGCACATCATCTTATTAACAAGGAAATCTGCATTTATCTTTAATAAATGGTAAAATCATATGTATAACAATTACTTTATGACTTATTAACAGTAAAGGTATGGTTTATATGCTTATTTTACATTATCTGTATACCCAGGGAAAAAAGGAGTCAAGACTGGAGGAAGTTTAAGAAGCTTTGCTCTACATCAGGCGCAGTCTTATATGTGGTCCTATAGTACCTTGGAAGTGAAGAGGGTCAAGAGTTCAAAGCCAGCCTGAGCAACATGAGATCCTATTCCTACATCCTCCCTCCCCCCCAAAAAACTTCAAACACCATGTTCTATGTGTATTATGCAGTGTATGGAAAGTGTCTTCTAGATACAGGTGATAAATCACAAAAGGCAATCAAAACTTCACAACATAGATGGTTTTTGCCCAGCTGTAGGCTAACTAAGCATACTGGGCATATTTACAGTAGGCGAGGCTCAATTATGATGTTGTAGAGGTTAGTCATATTAATGTGCCTACTGGGAATGAGAAACTAAATTTTTATTTTAATATAAATAGTTAAATATGGGTTTTAGTTATGACACCGAACATTTCAGCTAGCATCCCTCATAAAATTGCTCTATTGGCAAAAAACTTAAGTTTTATTTAACTATACAAGTTATATAAAATATTATGAACTTGAATCTATTTAAGTTCAAATAGCTTCTATGTTGGAGTAATCTAAAAACAAAAAGAAGCCGGGCGGTGGTGGCACACATCTTTGATCCCAGCACTCGGGAGGCAGAGATCTCTGTGAGTTCCAGGACAGCCTACAAAACAATACAGAGAAACCCTGTCTTGAAAAAAACAAAACAAAAACAAAAACAAAACACAAAAATGCAATCCCCTCCAAAATAAATATTTACTATTTCATGAAATGAAGTGTATCTTCAGAAAGTCCACATTTGAAAGCAATAAGTTGGCTGTTGGACCACTTATTTGAATCATAAATGCAATTACTAGTTAATACTAAACATAATCATGTCAGTTTAGCCTTAAGAAAAGCAAGAAAAGACTCATCAGTTAAGAACATGAGCTGCTCTTCCAGGATCCTTGTTCAGTTCCCAGCACCCACATGGCTGCTCACAACCTTTTGTAACTCCACTAACACCCTTTTCTGGCCTCTGAGGACACTGCACACACATACACGTAGGCAAAACACCCAAACATATAAACTATATATTGCAAATAATATATAAACAACAAATATGCATTTGTAAATAAATTATTTAAAAAATCACAAGTTGTGTTCTAGGTGTACCTTCACAGATCTTACAGTCAGTTCTAAGAACAGACTGAAAAGTGGATAAGATTAGTTTGTACCAGGTGCCTAGAAAGACCTCTCTGAGGAGCTGACAAAGGATCTGAGGGCTGACGGTGAGGCCCTCAGCAGAAGAGTTTTTCCAGGCATAATCAGGTTCATGGCCTTGGGGAAGGAGAAGGGTGTTGGATTGCTAAGATCAAGCTAATGAAGGCCCAGCACAGGGAAAGAGGACAAGATGAATTAGATCAACCAACCTTTCCCCTTTATTTAAGCAATACCATCAGCTTTAAATGGTTAGCAACCCACTTACCAAAGAAAGGGTCCTGGCCTAGCTGCTTTCGGAGGCTTTCAACCACAGGGTGACCAAAAGTGATGTTGGGAACAAAATGCCTACAAGACAAAAAATAAATAAATACAATCTTTGAATTTTGACAAGGGAGGAAGGGAGCATTTGGGATTGCAATTGTTTCCCATATAGTCCTTAACATTTTTAATGTTAGACAAAAATTAAGCAAAAATAACCAGGTAAGATCAGGTTTACAATTAATGTACATTGTCAAATATATCTTCATAATGACAAGTCTAATTCATAACCCATGGTGCAAGCAGAAATGGAAAAATGACAAAAGACAATTTCTGACTCGCTCAAGTGACACACTAGTTAGTAAAGGATTCTAACACAGGTGTCCTGAATCAGCCTCTAATTCACTTCAATCACAGAACACTAAATGACAGTTTACTTAAGCCCTTTAAATAATAACCATTAAAAAATTACAAATAAAGTTTCTATGAACACAGTAGCTCAATCATTCCACAAGGACACTTGCTCAACTATGTTCATGGCAACTTTGTTCATAATAGCCAGAACCTGGAAGCAACCTAGATGCCCCTCAAACAAAGAACAGATAAAGCAAATCAGTACATTTACATAGTAGATTATTACTCAGCTATTAAAAACAATCAGAAAATTTGAAGGCAAATGGATGAAACTAGAAAAAAAATCATTCAGAGTGAGGTAACCCAGATCCAGAAAGACAAAAACAATATGTACTCACTCATACGTGGATACTAGATGTAAAATAAAGGATAACCAGGCTACAATCCATAGTGCCAGAGAGGCTAGGTAACAAGGAGGACCCAGAGAGGGACACATGGATCTCTCAGGAAAAGGGAAATGGAAGAGATCTTGTGGATGAACTGGGGACAGGTGGATATGGGAACATGAGGGATAGGGTTGGCAGGTCTATGGAGGGGGAGAGTTCTAAAAGAGATGACTGGAAAGGGGGGTCATTTCGAGGTTAGGTAGAAATCTAGCACTGGGAATCTACAAGGATGATCACCAGCTAAGACTCCTAACAATCGTGAATGAGTAGTCTGAATTGGCCATCTCTTGTGACCTGACAGGACTTCCAGTGGAGAGACTGGGACACTAGACCAGCCATACAACCTTTGACCAAAATAATCTTGTCCTGCCTATTGGATGTGTGGGGGGGGGGGGGGGCGTTAAGAGTGGTAGGGATTGTGGGAGTGGCCAATCAAAGACTGGTTCAGCCTCACACCCATAACAGGAGAGTGAACCCACCCCTGACACTGCCTGAGCCCAGAGGCTGGATGACCCACAGACTTAGGAAGCAACAAACACAACTGAAGAAAAAAAAAAAAGTCAACATAATGATGCCTAATGATATTATGGTGCACTCAAAGATTTGTGACTACCTCAATTTATCAGAGAGCCTTCATCCAGTAACTGATAGAAACAGATGCTGAGACCCACAGCAAAACATTGGGCTGAGCTTGGGAAATCCTGCTGAAGAGAGGGAGGAAGGATTGTATGAGCCAGAATGGACAAGGACATCACAAAGGAACTGATAGAAACATCTAACCGGGCTCATAGAAGCTCAGAGAATCTGCGCCGACAGCCAATGAGTCTTCATGGGACTGACCTAGGCCTTCTGCATATGTGTGACAGTTGTGTAGCTTGATCTATTTGTGGGACTCTTAGCAGTGGGAGTAGGGATTGTCCCTAACACTTTGGCTGGCTTTTAGGAACCTATTCTACATACTGTGTTGCCTTGCCCAGCCTTAATATAATAGAAGGACCTTAGTCCTATAGAAACTTGATATACTATGCTTTATTGAAAACAGAAGGGGGTTGGTGGAGAGGAGATGGAGGGAGGGGATAGGAGGTGAGCAGGATGGGGAAACTGTGGTTGGGATATAAAATAAATGAATAAATTTAATTAATAAAAGAATTCTTGCAAGGGCAAATATTTATAAAAGCAATTTTATAAAGCTGTGTTGGAAAAAAAATAACTTGATGCTTATTGGAGCTAGTAGTATACTGAGAACTTACTTCACTCCAGATATTATATTGTCCTTCATACATCAGACTAATAAAACAGGTACTATTTACATTCTGTTTGAAGAACGTGCTAACTAACATATTTCAATCAGTCAATTAAGAATCAGTGTGAATAAGTTCTCTAACCAACAGATCCTTGGAGGTTCCATTTCTACTAATTAGAAGATCATTCTACTGCTTGCCTAAGGGCAATCACTATCAGACTTCTATGATACACATTAGTTACTTACACTGGAAATAAGAGTCAGGTCCAAGGCATCAACCCCAACTGACTATTCTACAACTTTACAAAAAATCTTTAATAGCATATTATTCTTTTAATTTACTGTGTGACCTTGAAAATCAGTTTGCTCAAATTTAGGTCTCATTTATTATGAAAACAAACACTGACAAAAGACAGGCTGAGGAGCTGAGAACCAAATAAATACAAATTTACTTGAGAAATACAAGTATAACATATAAAAACTACTGACCCTCAATTTATGTAAGCAATTTGTGCTTGTGTTCCTGGTGAAATGGGTTCACTAAATTCAACAACAGCACAAAATGCATCAATATTCTCACAGAAAACAAAGCAAAACAAACAAACAAAAAAACTAAAGGCTTGTCACTAAGTCATAACCAAAAACCCAGGCATGAAGTCAGGTGTCTTGGAATTGCCTGACAGCAACAGCTCTCATGGGAGCTGCAGCCTCTTTATGAGGGCTACTGAGGTTCTGAAGACCCAAGAACATGAATTTTTATCAAATGCCTCAAGGATTTCTTATCAGAGTATAAATTCTAAATTAATTCACTCTAAAGAAAAGGAATCTGCCAGGCGTTGGTGGCGCATGCCTTTAATCCCAGCACTCAGGAGGCGGAGGCAGGCCGATCTCTGTGGGTTCAAGGCCAGCCTGGTCTACAAAGCGAGTTCCAGGACAGCCTCCAAAACAATGCAGAGAAACCCTGTCTCGAAAAACCAAAAAAAGAACAGAAATTTACCAGAAAAGTAAAGGCTTTATCATTATTTTATTCTGACATTTCCCTCCTTGAATGCGATCCTTTGGAGTAAAGTCTGAATGAAAATTCAACAAAGGAGTCCTCCTTTCAAAAACCAGGGCCTTGCTGGTATTGAGCTATAGCTGTTGTGATGCAGGAATATCACCAGTGCTATACCTTAGCTATAGCTGGAATGCAGCCTACTGCAGACAAATCAGCAAACAAAACTGTACGAGGATTAAATGTACCAAGACTGGAACCAGAAAACAATCTTCCTGTGAATCAGGAACCATAGTCACTGGCAGGTTGCAGTTGGCAGTCAAAGAAGCAAAACTGAGCAGAAGAGATGGGCTGGAGGGCCAGGTAAGGCACAGGACACAAATGTTTAACTGGTTAAAGGTGTTCACCTCACTTAACTGCAGTCCATCATGGCCTTATCAGAAAACAGAACATGGATGCCAAAGCTTTCATAACCCCAACCATGCCCCAGCCCAAAAGTCAGGAGCCCAGTGTCCATGTGAAATCTCTCCAAATTAAAATCCTGTTGATTAATTTAGAAATAGATATTTGCTCTGCTCCTATGGTTGGGATCAATCTCTTCAAGCCACCATCCTGTCATGATACGTTTTGCGTTTTCCTCAAAATTTTTTTTGCAGAAAATAAATCTGCCCTTCATTTTAGATATTTAATCACACTTGTGTCCAGGCACCTAGTGTTTCCCAACCCAGTTTTTACTTTCTAGATAAATTCAGTTTTAAGCAGGACAGAAAACTGGGGGGTGAAGTGGAGAAGGGAAGGAAATATTTTGAGGCGGGCCACTTCTTTGTAAAGGGATCCCACAGCTCACTTTTGTACTGTTGCCCAGGAAACACTGTACCACGTGGCTAAGGAGGTGACACCAGCTCTATCAGGTTTTGTCTCTTCAGGCAGGAGGAAGGGAAAGAAGCTGTACTTCCCTAAAATGGCTTCCTCTTTAGCAAATGAATAGAAACAGCTCTAACTTCAAAAACAAAATAAACAAAAGTAGGTAAAGATTAAAAGTCATAAAAATTGTACATGAAGAATTTAGGTTTTCCTGCAAACTAGAACAATTTAAAAAAAAAAGGCTTGTCTTATTTACGAACATTGCCACAGGGGCAGGGAGTCTTAGGGGCAAAGGTAATTCTTAGACATGCTTCCCACTATTACTAAGCAATGATAACATGGCTGCACAGAGCTTTACTTCAGACCCTGCTCCCTGTACATTAGGGGAGAGAGAAAAGAGGAAATATAAATTACTACTTGATGTCTTAGGACAGAAAATATCCTAGAGTTCTGTAGATGTCCAGGGCACACAGAAAGCATAGGTGAGACATAGTTATATTGCTTCTACCTTGGCCCACTGTCTTTTGTTTGTTTGATGTTTTTATTTATTTTTTGGCTCTGAAACATGGTACTGCACCTTTACTCTTCATTGACAAAACATTAACCTCAAAAAGTACCTGATCAACCGCCAGGGTCCTAGCCCCACACAAAGTACTAGGTAACTAAGGGATGCTGAGAGCACAGGACACACTCTTCCCCAATACCGAATGGCCAGCTCTAAAAATATGCACACAAGTAACATTACACAGACTGAGCAGGCCACATTTATGTGTTTAGGAATATATATGTACTTACATATACATATGTGTGTAATAACAATTTAAAAAGGGTATGGATTTGAAAGACAGCAAGGAAGGAGGTGATATATGGGAGGGTTCAGTGGGAGGGAAAGGAAGGGGAAATGACGCAATATTATAAACTCAAAAAATAAAATTTTAGCCTGGCGTGGGTGGTGCACTCAGGAGGCAGAGGCAGGCGGATCGCTGTGAGTTTGAGGCCAACCTGGTCTACAGATCGAGTTCCTGGACTCCAAAGCAATACAGAGAAATCCTGTCTCAAAAAACCAAAAAATAAAATAAAAACAATTTTAATGAGTTTTTAAAAAGTACCAGAACAGAAAGTCAAGCGCTTCTAAACACTGCTATCACCAATATTCCTATTAGCAAACTGAAAGAAATGCTCTCCATTCATTCATTCTGTATAAACAGACTCACAGTAGTTACACGTGTAGACTGTTCCACAGTGAGACACCTAAGCTTTCTCAGGCACCAAAAATATTGCTGACATCTCTATGGTACACACTTTGTTCAGTCAAGGACTTTCAGTAAGTGTTAAGAGAAACAAGAAATTTAACCACAGAGCACGGGGAAGAAAAATTGCTACAGAGTGGCCCGTGACATTAAAAGAAAAGGTGCCTCTGAGTGTGTTGGCCAAAGCCTGTAGTCTTTTACATAGACCTTCTCTTAAAATCAAAACGAACTGCAACCCACAGTTTCACCCTGAACAAGAAAGAAACAAACTAACCTCTTGGAAATAACACATATTTGCTAAGGTGACTTAGGGCAAACAGATTTTGCTTATTTGAAATAAATTTTCTTCCTCAACCGAAGGCTTTTACAATCCTATGCGGAACTTCCAGTAGGAAATACTAGTCAAAGCCAAGAAGATTCAAGGTCCAAGTCTGTCACAATCTTCTGTAATCTTGAGCAAGTCTTAGGGCCTCCTTTGGGTCTACGGTTTATTTACTAAACTCGTACCCTAATTCTGAGTATTATAAACTATAACTACAGCGCTTAAAAATTACTTACAAAAAACTGACCTCCCTGAAGAGCAGGGTGCCTGAAGAAAAAAATAGACAGGAAAATCAGAATTCAGATAGTTATTCCATACAACCAACAACGGTAGAGAATCTGTTACATGTCTGGCACTGGGTTTGCTCATTTCATTCCTCCATAGACACGGAAGCGTTCTATTATCGATATACTTCCATTTTCCAAACCCTGAAACCGAACCTCCATGAGGGCCGAAGAGGCTTGTCTAAAACAAGTCAGTAAGTGGTCGAACTCAGTAATCCCAGCCAGGTGTCAAGCTCTTAACCGTGGGCGAGCCTGTCTCCCAGCTTTGTCGAGGACTAGTTATCTGAGTTTGGACAAGTCGTGCCTGTCCCGTTGGGCCTCAGTTTCTCTACGAGTTCAGGAAAGAAATGCCCTGACTACTGAAGGTGGCTTCCGGGTCCTAGTACCACAGGCTCCTGGGGGTGGGGAAGGACCAGGGACCGGGTCCCGAAGGCAGCCAGGGCCGGCTCGGTGCCCTCAGCAGCGCGCCCCGCGAGGCCGCCCGTCGCAAAGGGGCGCCGTGCACCCAACAGGCGCTCGCTGAGGTGCAGCGACGCGACCCGCGCGGCCAGCCCGCCCCGAGCCCCGCGGAGTTACCCGTCCATTACATCCAGGTGCAGGTAGTCGGCCCCCGAGTCCAGCATGCGCAGGCACTCGGCCCCCAGGTTGGCCAGGTCGCTGTTGAGGATGGACGGGCCGATCTTGCAGCCCGACGCCATGGTGCCGGTTCCCTAGAGCGAGTGAGCGAGCCCACGAGAGCCCGGGCCAGCCAAGACTTCGTCCCGATTGGGCGCGCCGCACTGGCTCCGCCCCCTACCACTCCGCACTCTCTTCCGGACTCTGCCGGAAGCATCTGCCCTGCGGCGAGGAAGTCCCGCCTCCTCTCGGGGGCGGGGCTGTCAGCTGGCTAGCTAGGAGCCGAGCCACCTTCTGCCTCCTGTCTTGGATTTTTTTTTTTTTCTTCCTGAGCCTCTTTCATCTCAGCAGAATAGCCTCTCTTCCTTTTGTAAGGAAAGATAATTTATTGAGTATGGCGTAGGAAGTCAACGGGCCGACCAGCTAGACTACCGCCTACAGTGCAGGAATTTGTTTTGAAAATGTATTTTTTTACTGTGTATACCTTTATTGTGATCATAGCCCCGTCACCCGCACTTTATTCCCCTTCAACTCCTGCTGACCCTTTTCTTTCTCCTACTGAAATATCTCTGTGTGTCTGTAGGTTTTGTGCAGATAGCCACAGTGGCTTGTGCACTAGTCATTGCAACAGCCCTGTCATAGCCAGTAGACAGCATTCCATAGCACTTACCCCCACCCTCCAGCTCTTACAGTCTTTTGGTCCTCTCTTCTGTGATGCGCCCTAGTCAAGGTGCTGAGAGCAGGTGACTGCTGAGTACTCAGTATAGGAGTTTCTTAGGCTTCTTTGGTCCTACTTCCTCTGCAGTAGAAGGATTTAATACAGTTGTTTATTATTCAGCCATAATTCTTGAAATGGGTAGGTTTCCTAATGCCAAATGTGTCCAGAGTCTGGGTCAGGAACCAATGCAAAGCTATGTGAAGATAAACATGAGTTAAACAAGATAAATTCCTAAAGAACAAGGATAGGGTACCTCATAATTTCATTCAAAACATAACTGGTGGTAATTTCGATGCCACAGTTTTTTGTGGCCACAGTCAGAGGACAATCAAATCTTTAATGTTCTCACTTGGACTATTACCAGCATTCCAGCAGGCCATAATCTAGGAAGGGAAATCAAATTGGCTACCTGTCTTCCATATCTGCATTCTGCCTTATTTTCAAAGATGGGGGATGGGAAGTACCTGAGGTGGATATGAATTGTATACAGAAGTAGAGGGACTGATTGTTGACTTTTGGCTAGGTATAGAGTGCAGATATGGAGGGCAAGAAATGAATAAAAGAAGGTACATTACAAGACTTCAAAAATGAGCCTGAATGAACTAACCCATTTCCAAAGGAGAGAAATGAAATCGGAGCACATTAAATACTTTTAGATTAATTTTATTATATGTGCATATTCTAACACAGAAGTCAATAGCTTTCATAAATATCTTTCATAAACATCTCATTATTTATTCATATGCATTTTTCCATGCTCTTTGGTCATTCAGTATTCATAACAGACTTTATAGTCATCTGAGGGAAGTTGGCTGTGTAGTCAATCCTTTGTTTTTACCTACAAAATGGCTAATAAAGGACTTTAATCCCATGGTCACAGTGACTATTAAAAATATCATGGAGGTACATAGATTTATGATCCTAAATGATCCTGAAATAATATAAGTAAATTTATCATAAACTTTTCCAAATACATTCTGCCCTCAACTTGTTTTTATTCTCCTGAGTGTCAGATCAAAGTCTGCTTCTGAGATGCTGCAGTTGAGACCCACGAAAGTAAATGAGGAAGTGGGACATTTTACTCACTGCCGAGACACAAGGCCATGGACTGGAACTGTGAGGTCACTGAGCAACAGTGGGACTCAGTGTGACAGCAGCAAATTCTGGAGAGTTCTCTGGTAACTCAAGGAAGTTCCTGTGTAACTCAAGGAAGGTATTTAATTCATGTTTTGAACTATAAGGCTATAACCCTTTCTTCCCTATAGGTCTCTACACATACACTGTTATTTCCTTGGAAACTCTAGGAGGTGGGCAGCAAAGTGGAGAAAGTTCTGTACTGACTGAAAGAACAGACGCTAAAGAGAGATGCCATCGTGTCTTAAGTTACTCTTGGAGGCCTAACGTAGCAAACAGTGGTTGCCTCCAGCACTGCTGTGTGCCCAGGTGTGCCCTTCCACACTATAGTTCTCAGTGGCTTATTCCAAGGCACTCAGTAACTCACTTTCCTCGTCAAAAGAATCAAGTAATTTAATAGAATTACAGAAAGTGGTGAATGCTATAAATGTAAATGAAAATAAAATGTTTGTCCTAGAAAATTCTGCATCCAGGATTTAAGCTGCTTTAATCTTAATAGTATAACTCTGTGCCCACTATCATGGATGACATATTTTTATTCCAAGGTCTCTCTATAAAGTTAATGTCCAGAGGTCCAATCTTCGTTGAATGTAATTTTTTTAATACCTGGTGAAAGTGGGTGTCTGTTTTGTCCTTCCTCTGAATAAGTATGATGAAGCATCATAGATTAAGAAATAAATCTATTTTTACTAATATTATAATGATCATAAGTGATAGTTAGTTCTTAGCCACATTTTGAATATTACAAAAGATTGTCAATTAACTTAAACTTTTTTCTTATCTTCCCTAACTGTTTTTCTTTAAGTTATTCCTTCAAACTCCAGGTAACAGTATTCCTGAGAATACATCTTGTGACACTCTTATGCACATACATATAGATACTTTAGTCACCACACATAAACATTCAGCACATTACATTCAACACGTTTAAGGACACCTTAAATGGAACAGAAGCACACATCTGCAAAATTTCAGAAGTCCAACACAAAAGAGAGCATTTCCACTCTGTAAGTCCCTGTTTCTCAGAGTAGACAAGTCTCTTTTTTTTTTTAAGGTAAAGCATTACTTAGCTTATTGAAAAAATTTCTAATAGACTTCCATACATGACAGCAAAGGAGTCAGGTTAAAAGGCAGACAGACCAGTAAATCCTTTCTCAAACAGCCCAACACATTTAAAATATGTAAAGGTATTTAGAGTTATTGTTGAGTATTTAACAATTCATTGTACTTCTTAAGTATCTGACACAATTATAGAGCTTTTGAATCAAGAATCCCAACACTGGAACAAAGCACATAGACGCACATAACTCAGACACTTGTAATTACCAGACATAAGGCCTCTAATGCTAATTGAGCAGCATAGTTTGTAACAGGCAAAATACACCAGCTTAGAACCAGAAAACCACTTGCATGTCAGCTTCTGTACTTAGGGACAAACTCAGCATTAAGTATGAATGATGTGAAGATGTCATAACACATAAAAGAGGTTCGCTTATCTCCTTGATTTCCAATACTTGTTCTTAGCCAAAAGGCCTGAAAGTGATACCACCTTGATTTTCTCAACTGGGGGATTTTAAATTTTATCCTAATTAATTTATAGATAATTCCATTCTCTTGGTGAATCGGGCTATAGCCCCCAAATATATGATTTTTATAAGTCACAATATAAACTGTGCTTATTTAATAAACAATTCTAACATAAATATCATTTTTCTTTGTGATTTGTTTATGTTTATAGGTCTCCTCTTTATATATATATACACACATTTCACAGCCAACATAGTCAACATTTGAGCATATAGAATATATTTAAACTCATTTTAACATAATCAAACTCTCTGTTTAACTTTTACTTGAAGACTAAAACACACACACACACACACACACACACACACCATACCAAAGTAGATATGTATATATCTTTCAATGCTTAGTGGTTATGTAACAGTTCTCTAATATAAACTGTTAAACTTTTGAAACCCATTTATGAACTGTGGGATGCCCAGCCCTTTAATAATCCACTAAGTACTGGCCTCACAAGCCTTTCGAATTTTATTTTATTTTTTGAAGTAACTGCACTTCAAGTTAAAGCCCTATTTGTGATATATACAAGCTGTCTGAGTCTATGAAGAAATTGAGTACTCTATATGTCTCTTCATTAATGGAGATCTCCTAAGGATCATAGAATATTTGACTACTGAGAAAAAGTTCTTTTCCAATCTAGTTCTAACAATTTACCTTTAATGTATGAAAATATGCCCTCAGGGGCAGGCACAAGGACTGTAAGGAAAGCAATCCCCTTTCCCAATAGATCTAATCTAGACATGGATGTAGTCAGGGCTAAAAGTAGGAATGCCATCTCTTTCAAGCAATGCTACTTACATTTAGCTTTTGATAATTAAATAGCTGTCTATGTTATTAATTCAGAATCATATCTGATAATTTCTAGAGCATTTTGTCTAATGTGATTGATGTGAAATGATCTGTGGTATTAGAATTTTTATTTTTAGCATACAGTGAAAATGAAAGTTAAAAAATAAATTTTGAAAAGTCCACAACTCTAAAAATAGTATTTTGTTCTTTTAATTATTGACTATATTATTGACCAAAACAAAAATAACTGCAGGGTTTGTAATTTAGTTTCTTCAATCTAATTATTTTTCTTATTGGTCATTTTTCTGTGAATTTCTATGCATATATAGCCACATAATGTAAAATTTTTTAAACTATAAAAATAAACATTTTCATGAGATGTATAATGTGAGTATCTTAAAAGACTGCATTCCTTTTAGAACATATTGTTAGTATTCTTATGATGGAAGCAATAATATGTATTCTCAACTGACTGTAATGATATATATATATATATATTCTTAGCGGCTCATAGTGAGCTATACACAGTGCAGTGAAATGGCTCTTTCCCCTTATTCTTCCCTGCTTTTATGGTCTTCACATGACTAAAGACTTTCAGCTATCGATTTGTAAGATGGTTGTGACACATTAGGAATTTTGGCAGCAAAATGCACTCAGACTTAACGCCGCTGACTGGCTGTAAAGTGTTGTTTTGGAATTAACCCTTGTCATTAAAAGCATCTTGTTGGTAGCAGTCTTCTGTACCCTGCTCCTGTGATACAGAGCTAAACATGGGACTCGTCTAGTGCTGCATCTTTCTCCCCCAGGTCAGGAGGCGTGAAAGTGAACTGGCTGGACAGCAGGGGGTTTTCCATGCCATTTTCCTCACTGATATGAAGAACGGTGTCTCCATGCTGTAGGAGGCTGGATGTCTCAAGGCCAGTGAAGTCAT